TAGGTTATGGGGTTTAGAGTTGAGGCGTGGGTTTTCCAGGGTTTAGGGTTTTGGGTTATGGGGCTTAGGGTTTAGGGTTTGGGGTTTTAGGGTTTAGGGTTTAGGGTTTAGGGTTATAGGGTTTAGGGTTATAGGGCTTAGGGTTATAGGGTTTAGGGTTATAGGGTTTAGGGTTTAGAGTTCTTCAAGGAATCCTTCGAAGGGTATCTTTCTTTATAAGGGCTTATAAGGTTTACAGTAAGGTCTTGCGCCTTTCTTTATAAGGGCTCTCTATATGGTGCTTATGGTTCTAATCCTTACAGTAGCGTTTCGTACCTTTGTCAAGTTAAAACACGGTTTAGGGTTTAGGGTTTAGGGCTATGGGGGCTTAGGGCTTTTAGGGTGCAGGGCTTTGGATTCAAGGCTTTAGGACTTAAAGGTTTACGGGCTTAGTGAGGGCTTTAGGCTTACGGGTCTCTAGGATTTAATTTAAGTTTGAGGGTTCAGAGATTCGGGCTTCGGTGTAGTTTGTCATTTGTCATCTGTGAGTGGAGAGTGCAACTGCGGTGTAGGGTTTAGGGGTTTAGCGGTTTAGGGGTTTAGGGGTTTTGGGTTTAGGGTCTCTGAGAAGGTAGGTGACGAGTTCCACCTTCCTGGTCGTCCTGCGTAGCCGAATTCGCCAAAAGTATCCCGAAAATGAAATCTCTTGCAGCCTGAAGGTCAAATCCCTGGTCAGGCCACAGGAAAGCATACATATCAAAGCCGTTTGGAGACTCCTGCCTTTGTGAAGTAGAAAACCAAATCCAGAGACGCCCATGACCTCGGGGTTTAGCATTGAAGGTTTAGGGTTTCGAAGTTTGGGGTTACGGTTCGGCCGGGTGAGAGGCATTGAGCAATGATTGCTGCGACGTGCTGGCGTAGCTCGGGATGGCTCCATATCATTAGAGTTCAGGGCTTCCTTAAACCCACAACCATGATCGATCACGCCACCCTTCCAAGGCAAGGTATCAAGATTCAAGATCAACTTCAGCAAACATCAGAAAGGCTCGACCATCATGCTGAACTCTAAACCCAAAACCCTGACCCCTAAACCCCAACCAGACCGGAACCCTTCCCTTCAATCTTGTGTGGGTGTGTGTCTAGCAGCTCCAGTTCGGGCTATTTCCCTCAACTACAGCAGCCTTTCCGTGATGCCACTCTAAACCCCAAACCCCAAACCCTAACTCTAAACCCCAAACCCTAAACCCCAAAACTCTAAACGCTAATTAAACCCTAAACCCGAAACTCGAATTCACCCCTAAACCCTAAACCCGTCACAGGATTTTAAGGTCTATAGGCTCTTGTCACTCGGCCTTCCCTCCACCCCGCAACATGAGAAAATGCATAGCCTACTGCAGACCCGAAGATATTAGGGGGTGCAGGGTTTAGGGGTTTTAGGGGTTTAGGGTTTAGGGGCTTTGGGTTTAGGGTTTAGGGTTTAGAGCTTTAGGGTTCAGGGTTTAGGATGAATCCTTGCTAGAAGGATCCTGACGTCCCTAATGTAGGGACCCTTAAGAACTAGAACAGGGATTTGGGCTTCTCTACAGTCTAGTTAAGATAAGGAACCCTAACGAATACTATTGGTAATTCTTTTGGCTTCTGAAGTTTTGGGTTTAGGGTTTAGGGCTCCTTGTTGTAGAGGCTGCTCTTGTGTTGTGGTGGGACTTGGGCTTGGGGGGGTTGCGGGACCGTGACGTCCAGGACACATGCAAGATACTTGTACGCCCGTAACCAACGCGAAAACAAGATTTCTAATGACCCCTTGGAGTTCTCTTGCTATTGTAATCAAGCAAGAACGCCGAAGTGCAGCTCACTACCCAACAGGTCTCGGAATCTAGGCCAACGGCTCGATTGGCAATGAAGCCACTGCAGTTCCCGACCAGGCACGTGACCTGGTTGCTGGACATCCGGATGTCGTGGCACCCTACAGGACCCTGCGGCAAAAGTCTCCAAACTGAGACGAGGAGTACGTAAGAGAAGTAGCATGGGGACCGGAACAAGTAGTAACAATAGCCCCCCATAGTTCCTACATCACTATACCTATACCATAATATACCACGAAAGCCTTCTTGAAGTTGTTACCGCCTCATATCATTCATGAGCTCTTCACGAGGTTACGTCTCCCAATCTTCCAAAAGCTGCGCCCAGAGAACCCTAAACCTAAACCCCAAACCCAAAGCCTGCGCAGGAGTTATTGAAACATCATCTTCTGGACCCTAAACCCTACATCGACATGAGGCCTTCTTCAGCTTGGAGCCGAAGGCCATGGCAGTGGCGATGGTGTCCGGGGACTTGGATCAGATGGCCCCTTCTGAGACTCTTTCGGTCTTAAGGGTGTAATGTAGGAACCTGATTAAGAAACCCTGGCTCTTTATTAGGGTTCTTAATATGAACCTTAATATATTGGGGTTATAGGGCCAGGGCTTCTTAGTCAGGTTCCTACATTCGTGCTTAGGGCTTAGGGCTTAGGATTCAAGACTTGGGGTGCAGGGTTTCGGGTCCGTCAGGAGCTCCGACAGACTCCGGTCTCATCGTCCCATCGTTTTGAGACCTAAAAAGTTGTTGCAGTGTGAAGCCAGAAAAGAAGAGACGCCTCCGAGCAACAGCCGCGCTCTTCCGTCCTAGACCCTAGGTTTCTGAGTGACCCTAAAGAATAAGGGTACCTTTTTTCCTAATATTCGGCTTTAAGAAGGAGGCCCCAAAGCAAAAAGGGCAAAGGGCACTACCCAAGAACCTAGAACCCCAAACCCTAAACCCTAAACCCTAAACCCTAAACCCTAAACCCCACACCCTAAACCGTCGAGAAGTCATCAGATGCGGTCCTAGGAGCAGTACGCGGCCCCCTGACGTTCCTGATCAGCACAGAGCACCCGCGCAGGATCACTGGGTAAAGATTCTCTGGGTGTCGTCCATCAGTTATATTCTTCCATGTCTATCATATAGTATACACTATCTAGATATACATATAGCTTAAAATATATATATATATATATATATATAGCGTTATGTTGTGTTACATTATATTATAATATATGAAGATATAATATATTATGTTGTACTATATTACAATATATTATATTATATTGTAATATATTGTGTTATAACATATCATATTATATTATATTATACTTATTGTACTCTCTTATATTATATCATATTATGTTATGTTATGTAATATTATATTACATTCTGATATATTATGATATAATATATTATGTTGTACTACTATATTATGTTTTAGAATATTACATATATAACTAGAAAATGGAGAAACCACAATGGATGAATGCTTGCAGGCAGCTCCAGTAGGCGCATCACATTGGCGGGGGAGAAGAAGTGGCCTTGCCAGAGAGCGCCAGAGAACCCTTAAACATGGAATAAACCTTGAGCTAAAGGAGCTTGGGGTTAAGGTTTGGGATTTAAGGGTTTAGGGTTTAGGGTTTTAGGGCTTTAGGGGCGTGGGATTTAGGGGTTTCGGATTCAGGGTTTAGGATGGGATTTAAGGGTTTGGGCTTTAGGGTCGCCAAAGTCCATTCCTTCATTTTGGGGTACTGGGCTGTCTGGATTTCTGCCCGCGACAGGAAGGAAGTGACGAGGGCGGCAGGGAGCTGAGTCCCCGGCAGCCGATGACATCCTTCAACAAGCGGCTGTCGTGGAGCAGTCTAGTGGTTTAGGGTTTAGGGTTTAGGGTTTAGGGTTTAGGGTTTAGGGGTTTAGGGCTTAGGGTTTAGGGTTTAGGGGTTTAGGGCTTAGGGGTAGTACATGTCTGTATAAGAAGTCTGTGTAAACTTATCTTAATTACCCTAAACCTAACCCCAAACCCTAAACCCTAAATTTGTTGTTACCTGTTATATGTATGTATAATATATAGATATACGGAAAATAGATTGTAGTATCTATGGTATACATGTTTGGAGCAGTCGGCTGAGCGGTGAATGCGCGTCCTGCGGTCGCTTCGTGGCACCTGCAATCTCATCCTCGAATGGCTCTTCGGGGGCTCTTCAGGGCTTTTTCAGTTCTAGGGCTTCGGGTTTAGGGTTCTAGGGATTCTAGGGTTTAGGGCAGATCCTCTTAAGCCCAAGAAGAGAAAATGGAAAATGTCCCAAAGGCCTACCTAGCAGCAATGTTGAGGTAGCTGGTGTTGGAGGCCAAGACGGAGCCTGCCGAGCATCACAGGAACAGTGACTCGGTCTGATATCGGGGGCCATGCCTCGCTTCTAACGATGAGAATAGGGGCCCGAAAAGTGGCGCCCTACCTTAAGGACGAAATGAACCCTAAAAGGGTTTGAGGTTCATATACCATATAGGGATTCATCGTATAAGGATATAGGGCCCCTACTTTTCAGGGTTTTGAGTTACCTTCAATAAGACTATAAGTCTAACAAGGAGCCCTTAAGAATAATGCCGGTAGTTGTCCCGGCCTGGCTTGCAAACCTGGTCGAGCGTAGCGAAAATCTTCTTCTTCAGGTCCATGTTCTCGAACACTGCCTGGAAGACAGCATCCCTAAACCCTAAACCCTAAACCCCTAAACCGTAAGTCAAAGGGCCGAAGTTAACGCGAGGTCAAGAAAAGAGAGACGACAAACCAGCCAGCTACCACAGCTGCTTCTTGGGTGCTTCGTACCCCTAAACCCTCATCCCGAAACTCTGAACCCTAAACCCTAAACCCCAGTCCCGAAACGCTGAACCCTAAAACCCGAAAGCCTAAATCCTAAGCCCGGAACCCTAAGCCCGAAACCTTCGAACTGCGCCTCTACCACGATGTCGCATTGCGAGAGGGCATCGTAGGAGGTAGCGGCTGTGATGTTGGCCAGCAGCTTGTCGACCTGCTCCTGTCCGGGGCGGCTTTTGCTGTAGAGGTTGGGGAATTCATAAAAGGCTCTTATGTGGGTTCGAGTCCAAGGGGTGTCCCATAAGGGATGTAGGGTGTAGTTCTTGTCTGAGGCCATGTGCCCAAAGCAAGACTGCCGAACAAAGGCAGGAGTCACCGGAAAGGGACGCAACTTCTAAATCTAAAACCCCAAGACCCCGTAGCAATGATGGTATATTCCGGTTTAAGGAATGCATGAACTGGGCAATTACGGCTTGGCTTCACACTAGTTTGGCGTGTGTATGAGCCCTTGGTTTGAACATGCTTCGCGGTGCTGCTCATGGGGCAAGCGACATACAGTGACTATGAGCTCGCTGATGCTGTTGATGATGATGGTGATGATTTTGTTGTTGGTGGTGTTGATGATGATGGGGGAGCGGGGTGTAAATACAGTTGGTGATCACGCCGGCGGCGGTGGCCGTGATAGCGGCCGTGGCAGTTGTGACGGTGATGCCGGTCTTGATGATGATGATGATGATGATGACGACGACGACGGCGACGATGGTGAAGATGACGATAGCGGTGATGATGATGATGATGATGATGATGACGACGACGATGATGATGATGCTGATGTTGATGATGCTGAAAATGATGATGATGATGATG